CAACTACCATTCAATTTCAAATTACTAAAAAGTTCTAGTTGGGTATGGTGGCACATGCCTGTGGTCCCAACTACTCAGAAGGCTGAGGATCGCTTGAGCCTAGAACTTCATGTGCAGCCTGGGTAATGTAGCAAGACTCTTATCACTAAAAAAGAAAGCAAAACAAAAGTCCTGTTGAATGAAAAATTTCAATCTTATACTTCTTTCACAATTTTTATCCCTTTAGACCACTGGGACCCACAGTCACATGACACAACTTAAAAAAAAGTTTTAATTCATTCCATACAACTCAATCATTAAAGTATGCCATATGATTAATATATCACATAATCCCACCCATTTAAAATAATTTAATGATTTTTGATACATTACATTATTTTTTAAACTGTGATAAAATATATATACCATAAAATGTGTCTTTTAATCTTTTTTTTTTTTTTTAAGAGAAAGGGCCTGATTATGTGGCCCCAGCTGATCTTGAACTCCTGGAATTAAGGTGGGACCACACATATGTATCAGCATACATGGCTTAATGCTTTTTAAGTGGACAATTCAGTGGAGTAATTATATTCACAATGTTATACAACTATTATTACTATCTATTGTTGAAACGTTTTTGTTACCTCAAACAAAAACTCTGTAACCATTAAGCATTACCTCCCTATCCCTAACCCCTACTCCTATTTACTTCTAATAAAAAGTGGGACTTATTCCTGGGATGTAAGCATGGTTGAATATATGAAAATTGATCAATCAACACAATATAACACATTAACAGAACAAAGGAAAAAACCCTACGTGATCACCACAATTGATACAGAATAAAAATCTAACAAAATTCAGCACTCTTTCAAGATAAAAACACTGAAAAAACTAGAAACAGAAGGAAACATCCTCCATATGATAAAGAGCATATATAAAAAACCCACAGTCAACATCAAACTCAATGACAAAAGGCCGAAAGCTTTTCCTCTAAGATAAGGATCAAGTTAAGGATGCCAGCCGGACTCAGTGGCTCAGCCTGTAATCCCACGCCTTTGGGAGGCTGAGTTGAGTAGATTGCCTGAGCCTGCAGGTTCGAGACCCGCCTGGGCAGCAAGACCTCATCTCTACAATAAATCAAAAAAATCAGCCGGGCGTGGTAGCGCATGCCTATAATTCCGGCTACTTGAAAGGCTGAGGCGGAAGGATCGCCGGAGCCCAGCAGGTCGAGGCTGCGGTGGCCAGGAGCGGCCACTGCAAAGTCTGGGCGACAGAGTGAGACTCCAACTCAAAAAAAAAAGTTAAGGATGCCCACTTTCACCACTTCTAATCAATATAGTACAAGGTCTAACTAAAACAATTAGGCAAGAAGTGGAAATAAACAGCATCTAAACTGGAAGAGAGATTACCTCTGTTTTCACATGGCACCATCTTACATAAGTGTCTGATCTATAATGGAATGAAATTATACCTGAAATGCTTGGGAACAAAAGAACTTTCATTTAGGATTTCTTGGGGGATTTTGGAATATTTGTATATGCACAATGATACCTTGGGAATGAAATCCAAGTTCAAACATTTAGGTTTCATATACACCTTATCCACATAGCCTGAAGGTAATTTTATATAATATTTTAAAATTTTGTGCATGTTACAAAGTTTGTGTTAAATAGTTATTTGATGGATTTCCTATTTGTGATGTCATGTGGGTACTCAAAAACTGGATTTTAGAGCATTTCAGATTTCCAGATTAGGATTGCTCTACTTATATGTAGATAACTCTAAAGATTCTACCTCACTTTCCCCCAAAAACCTGCCAGAGCTAATGAAAGAACTCAGCAAAGCTGCAGGATACAAAAACCAACACACAAACAGGAGTTTTCTATATACCAGCAATAAACACAAATTAAGAAAACAAATGCATTTACAACAGCAGGAAAAAGAATTTTATCACTCAGGAATAACTTAACCCAGGAAGTAAAAGACTTGTACACTAAAATTCACAAAACATTGCTGAAAGAAATTAAATTGAAAGACATCCTGTATTCATGGACTGGAAAATGACAATATTACCCAAAATGATCTACAGATTCAATGCATTTGCAGAACTCATCTATTCATACGGAATCTCAAGGGACCCCCCAAACAGTCAGGCAAGATTTATACTGCTTGATTTCAAAACATACTACAGAGCTACAGTAATCAACATTGGTGTGGTACTGGCATATGGAAAGACAGGTTAATGGAATAAAATTGAGAACCCAGAAATAAACCCTAACATGTGGTCAAGTTTTTTTCCCGACAAGGATGCCAAAACCATCCCGGGGAAAGGACAGTCTTTTCAATAAGTAGTGCTGGAAAAACTGATATCCACATGCACAAAAATGAAGTTGGACCCCTACCTAAAACTATATACAAAACTTAACTAGAAATGGATAGAAGACATATATGTAAGAGATGAGCCTATAAAATGCTTAAAAGAAAATATAGGAGAAAACCTTCATGACACTGGGTTTGACAATGATTTCTTGGATCTGAGACAAAAAGCTCAAGAAACAAAGGAAAAAAATAAAGTGAACTTGCTAGCTTTTAAAGCTTATTTTATCTTTTCTTCCTCACATAAATGCTGATTCTCAACATGACTGAAAAAAATCGGTTTCAGAACCAGTATTAATTTTGTTCTATAAGATGGAGATTAAAAGTGGTTCTCAAGTCAAAGGGACATTTATTCCTCAATACAAACACAAGATTGCATATGGATGGTCCCTAAAAAAAGAAAACACAGAATCAAAGATGTGGGTATGGCTATGTATCCTCCTTCGGATGATGTCATAAAGGAAATAAAATTAATTTCTAGCTTTAACACATACACATGTAACTATCAATAAATTCACAGGACCTGAATAAAAACAGCAAAGAGGTCTTTCACTTATTTCATGGTTTTGTTTCTTAAAAGCAAACCTCATAAAAATGTATTCCCCTAACAAAAGGGCAGAGTTCATCAACCAGGTTGCTAAGATGAATTAACACCACAAATTTCTAAAGTGATTTTTATAGATTATGTGGAGTAATAAGATTTTTCAGACAATTTTCTTTAAGTACAAATATATTTTCAATGTTCTATAATCCTTTTACCCATAACAAACCACAACCCAGGTGTCACAGTAGCCTAAACTAGTCTGAGAATCAGATATGACAAAAATTCATTTATATTCTTAAACAAGTATCTACATTAAGTAGATGCCATCAAATTCTTTCACATCCACATTGTCCTGAACAGTGTCTCTTCCGTATTACTCAATGTAAGAAGCCACCACTCACCGTCCATCCCTCTCCTTGAGTGGGGTAGCCTGTTCACCTGCAGTTGCTAAGAGTCCTGCAGGCCCTCAACAATCCTTCTGGAAAGGTCTGTGAGGTCACTGTTAACCTGAGCCCTTAATTCCAAACAGCCTTTTTGCAGACAGTCGCTATTAGATAAAATTACAAATATATCTCACTTGCATATCTGTTCACTGGAGGTGACAGTTACTATAATTTCATCTCTACTTCTTAAAGTTTTCTTTAATATGAACTACCACTATGTCACCTAGAAATTTAAAAAATATTTTTTTATAACAACTGTAGCCGTTGTAGAACATGATATTGAGGTGACAGCTTTTGTGTGTCTACAATAAAACAGATAGATCATAAATACATCATGTAAGATATAGGTTTGTAGCCGGGCTCGGTGGCTCAGCCTGTAATCCCGCGCCTTTGGGAGGCTGAAGTGAGTGGATTGCCTGAGCCCGTGGGTTCGAGACCCGCA